CGTCTGTCACACTGACTGGTCACTATATGTATATTCGTCGCTCACACTCACTGGTCGCTATATGTATGTACGTCCGTCACACTGTCAGATGGCCATATGTATGTATGTCCGTCACAGTCACTGGTCACTATATGTATGTACGTCCTCAAAGTTGGATTTTTGTGCAAACACACACCATCTTTCCAAGAGTTTCTTGAATATGTGGAACTATTTCCTTCATTTTTGATTAAATAACTTATTTTATAAGCTTCTCCAGCCATCCATTCAGTATTTGAATAATTTAAAGATGTCAAAATGAAAGACGCATCCGGTTTACTAGGAATGAAAAAACAACAATGTTCCTTGATATTGTTATCACGATTAAATAGTTCAATAGCAGCATTATCCGAATTTACAAATATTTGTATTTTACAATCCGATAAATAGTCAGTAATGAGGCTTAGAGAAAATTGCCACCAATTCGAATAAGAGTCGAAAGCACGTAAAGTTTTTACTACGATTATTTTATTGTTTAAAACTACACCATATTGTTTACAAATTATATTTATTGTATCTTGCCATTCTGTAACCTTTTCCATGGAATAGGCAATATTTTCAACTGTATAGGAAATATTTAAAAAATAAAAGTTATTGTCGCATTTATCTGATTTATCTGCTTGTAATTTATCCGAATATATTATACTTTTGACCATTAAATCAACTGATTTTGGCTGCTGTATCTGTATTTCTGTTGTATTTATGCTATTTGAACTTAATGAAAATTTGTTTGCAATTGTATTAATTGGTTTTATTATAATTTTGAATTTTCCAATAGATAGAAAGCCAAATAAAAGTTTGATATTCTCAGTAATTTCTTCATTTACTCTAATATTCTTTTCGGATTTAAAAGTATTTAGATAAAACGTAGAGCCAGACAATGGTTGAGCATAAAAATCAAATCGTGGATTTTGAACCTCTTTTTTACCGACATTCTTTATTTTCCAAGTTAATAATACAGTATATCCATTGGCATTCATTTCGATTATATTGCTCATTTTCATTTCTATTATGTTCAAAATTGATGGTATTTCATCTAATTGAATTGATTTTACAACTGGCAGTTGATATTCAATGATTTTTTCATTTAAATTTTTTGCATCAATAAAAATGTAAATATAATTTTTTCCATTAATAGAATTATCTAAATCAAATTTTTGTTTTACATTCAGTTTGTAAATATTTTTTTGATTCACTAGAATTTTATGATTTATTTCGCCAATTTTTATAGAGAAATTTTCATCAAATTTGCTACGATCACTTAGATAATACAGGTCTAACCAAGTTAATTCTTGTTCTATTTTCAAAGGATAATCAATTGATAGTGTGTATTCTATTATCAAACTATTAATTGTTTCTTTATCATTGTAATTTGTAGTGGACACATTCATATTTGTTAAATACCATTTCGCTATTGTTCTTTCAACATTTAATTTTGCTGTGACAGTTTTAGAAGTCGAATAAACAGTAAAGACATTATTAAGATAATCTACAGAGATTTCAACTGTGTATTCTCCATCATTTAATTGAGGATATATATAAAACTCAAAAACATTTTTGTAGGTTTGACCTTGTGGCAAAGGACCTGAAAAATTTAAAACAAAACAAATTCTAATATAATCTTTTTAAATATTCTACAGCACGGCCAAGCGTTACGAAATTCCGTTTTTCTGCGTTATAAGCGCCATAACTTTAAAGCGGTCAAAGCCAAAGCCTTGAAACTTTTACCACTAATAATGAGTCGTGCGTTTTAGTACCAAAACAAATTTCAATCGATTTGGATGTACCGAACCGAAGTTATAGGCAAAATAGATGCCGTTTCGGAAGGGAAAAAAAATAGAATTGTCTTTTACTAGTGTGTATAAGTTCGATTATTTCTACGAATCGATGCGACATGGAAAGAAATGTTTCAGATGAAAGTTGTGCAGTTTTCTGAAGGGGGAAAAACTGGATCCGCGGATCCGGGTTTTCACATGGATCCGCGAAGATTCTCATGGATCCCTAAGTGTCCGAAGCTTGTCCTAAGCAAACAAAAACCTTCTATAAACTTTGTATACACTTTAAACAGATAAGTCCTGCCAAACGGATATTTTCCTCCGCGAACCCATTGCGATGTGTTTTTTGCACTTTTCTCAGAATGAAACAAGTTTGAAGGAAAGTTTTATATACCATTCGATGAGCTTTAAACGACGAAAAAAACTATGTATTGCTCAATTGTTATGTACACTGCGAACACCCACGTTTTTGAAATATTACTGTTAAAAATGATCTTTTCAGCATAGTCCGCGATAGTATTTCTATTCGCTCGTCAGGTTTAACAGATCTCATGTAAAAGAAGTTGCGGACAAGTATACCTTATGAACGCTAAATATAGCTTTCTCCAAAACAAACTGTAGTATTTATGGTTAAAAAAGTCTCGGTTTTTAAAAAAAGGAACCGTCTACAAAACCGCGATTCTCGTTCTCTATGAAGAACCGAAAACAAGAGAACCGCGGTTCCAGTTATTAACAAGAACCGCGCATTTCTACCTACCACTCTTTACATCGGCCTTTGACGTCAGTGACGACACCTATCTCATATTACAAAGCTCAACAAGCTGAGCCGAATGGTGAAAACCGCAAGTCTCTAGCCTTGTTAGAAAAAAGTTATAGCCATTTCACCCTCGCAGCGGAAAAATGCATTTTCGTCATTTTAAGATAGAGTTTTTGAAAAATCGGTCTTCTAGAAAACCTAGTAATCTTACAATTTCTTTCAGAATTTTTTCAATCGTATCATTGGATCGCCCTTGCAATTCTACATAACATCAGATGCTGGCCAACCTTCCTACGATGTTCTGCCAAATAGTGCCATACAAAATAGGATGCAGACCGAAAATGGGCATTAAAGCGAATGACTTTATATTTGTAATGTTAAAAAGCCTGTAACTCGGTCGTGCAAGATCGTAGAAACTTGGCGAGCATCTGATGTTATGTAGAATTGCAAGGGCTATCTAATGATATGGTTGAAAAAATTCTAAAAGAAATTTTAAGATTACTAGGTTTTCTAGAAGACCTGCTTCAAGATGAAGATACCAGCTTCAAGGTTCTACGTTAAGATATGTGGCCAGCAGACGTTCTACAAGTTAGGCCAAATCTGCCGGAAAATGACGAAAATGCATTTTTCCGCTACGAGGGTGAAATGGCTATAACTTTTTTTCTAACAAGGCTAGACACTTGCATTTTTGTAGACCGCAATCGATTCTCTCGTGGTGAAAAAATAGAAATACTATCACGGACTATGCTGAAACGATCATGTTTTAACAGTAGTATTTCAAAAACGTGGGTGTTCGCAGTGTACATAACAATTGAGCAATATATAGTTTTTTTCGCCGTTTAAAGCTCATCGAATGGCATATAAAATTTTCCTTCAAACTTGTTTCATTCTGAGAAAAGTACTAAAAACGCATCGCAATGTGTTCGCGAAGCTATTAGGGAAAGCTAACCGATTTTCTTACATAGATCAAGTCCGAAGGGAAACCAGAGGTCTGAAACAGCATAAAATCACACGTTCTTTCATTCTAGACACCTTTTCTATCCGCTTGTATCCGGGATCCGCTTTTTCCCCCTTGAGTTTTCCACTAGCTTTCAGGCTATCTAATTGGTTTTTGAAATTGATCATTCAATCGAATAAAAAGCGAAAAATACACGTCGTTACGGAATTCCGCCCTTTTTCGGTTTTTCGACTGCAGATGATTTATTTCGTAAAAGTTCGATTTTTTTCAATAAGAATTAGTCAAACCAACTTGATATTTGAAATCAGCGTAAAATTCTGCATCGAGTAGTGTATCTTTCACAGAAATCTGCGGTGAAACATTTTTCGACTTTTAAAGTGGAAAAAATTTTCGAGAAAAATGAAAATCGACAATTCGAAAAACAAAGTGAGTCAACTTGTACAGAATTCAACGCTGACTCAGGCACATGCTTTTCTAACTCTGGATATCAAATTCGGCGTATTTTTAATTTTTTTAATTTTTTATTTAAACCTCTTCCCAGAATAAAGGACCGCTGATTCTCTAGTTCGTTTGTCAAACCATGAACTGAAGAGCGATCTTCTATTAGAGGAGCAGAACCAAAGCAAAAAAAGATTTTCATTTAAACTGACTGATGTAATTTATATCTATATACTGTACGATTTTCTCTCTTATAGTATTTTTCTTTTTACTATCTAACCTTTCTTTTCTAGAAAATAAAATAAAATAGAAAGAAAAGAATTTGTTACACAATTCTGTTCGTCTGTATTTGTATTTCGAGTGTTTGACTATACTATCTCGTTTCTCTCTTTGTTTGTCTTCTTCTTTACAAAAAGAGAGAAAC